TTTTTTTTTTTTTTAGTTGATTTATTAATTTTGAGAGACAGAGACAGTGTGAGTCAGGGAGGGGTGGAGAGACAGAGAGAATCCCAAGCAGGCTCTGTACCATCAGTGCCCATGAAACCCATGAAACTGCGAGATCATGACTTGAGCCGAGACCAAGAGTTGGATGCTCAACCGACTGAGCTGCCCAGGCGCCCCTGATACTGCTGTTTTTTATATGACCCATCAAACACAAGCTGTTCAGAGCTGTTAAGTTCTACAAATTACAGCTCAGAGAAGGGATACTGGTTAAGCAAAAGAATTAAATTATATTTTTTAGCATACCTTAAAGGCAGCCTTCATCATTAGGGGTTTCTGATCAAAATTCCCAAAAGTAACTTAATTTTTTTAATGGATGGCCCAGGTAACATTATTAAAGCCAATAGCTTATTTAGAAATTAAAATACATCATGAAAGTTTCTGAGGATGATGAGTGCTCAGGCCAGTAAAAATGAATGAAGAAGGAAGGAAGGAAGGAAGGAAGGAAGGAAGGAAGGAAGGAAGGAAAGAAAGAAGGAAGGAAGGAATGAAAGAAGGAAAGAAAGAAGGAAGGAAAGAAAGAAGGAAGGAAGGAAGGAAGTAAAGAAGGAAGGAAAGAAAGGAAGGAAGGAAGGAAGGAAGGAAAGAAAAAGTTCTTCAACAAGTGGCTTCTATAACCACAGATTTAATTTTTTAAAATAATTTTGGTAAGCACTCTAAGTCTAATCTTATGAAATAAAATCCATTCTTAAAAACATCATACAGTTGTGACTAATTTTTTCTTAATTTAAGTTTTTAAAAAATGTTCTTTTTTCTCTTCTTTTTTATTTTTAGGATGGTATCGGCAATGCAACATTATTCCTTATAGTAAAGATGTTGACCTAGGAATTTTTATACAAGATTATAAATCTGATATTATTTCAGCATTTCAGGATGTAGGACTTCCACTCAAACACAAATTTGGGAAGGTCAGTAATAAAAATCTTCTTTACTTCATAAGTATATGTCTTTTCAAAAGTAGAATTTATATTAAACAGCTCAGAGACAACCAGTTAAGAATGTTGCATATATCATTTGATCATGCAGTATTAGCCAGGATGACTTCAGCAGAAGCTTGTTATGTGACTTTCCGCACTATTTAAGGAAAACTAGAAAATCTGTCTTTCTACTGACATTGAGAAGGAGAAAAGGATCTTGAACTCTTGCAGATTATTTTATTGCCATTATATTAGATAACAATATAACATATAATTAATGTACCAGATAATATAAAATTAATACAATAATTAAGAACCCTACCTACCTTACCTGATGTTATGTTGTTTCTCATGAATACTTTAATTTCATGTTCCCTTAGGCATTCTATTATTATCAACATGAAATGGTCCTTTGGTGGCTAAGGGTTAGAAATACAGAATCATTTCAAATAGTTCTTGAATTTCATATTTACTTCATAGGTTCTGGGTCATAGCAATTTTCTCAGAGTTCAACTAGGAATAGGTCATCATGACTTACATGAAATCTCCTTTTAGACAATTTGATTTCTATGCTCTAAGCCCATGATTCCTTGCAAATGTCTTACTTCTTTTTTTTTTTTCTTCTTCAAACATCTTACTCTTAATTTGCTTGTTGCCAGGGAGGTGTTGTCCTGGGAAGCAAGTAGAAGTATGGTTAGTCACTGAAAAATTACTTTTTCCATCATAATTATTCTAGTTTATTAAAAAATTTATTTATTAAAAAAATATAAAAATATTTTCCAGAGGTCACAGTCAAAGCAGGAGAACTCTAGGCGTACAGAGAATGTTTACTCAACACTCACTTTATGCCTGGCCCTGCGCTCTGCACCTGGGACCCAAAGATGCATACGTTATGGTACTTACCTTCAGGAGTTCACTGTCTAATTGGGGGAAAAACACATAATAATTATGTGATTAGTGCCATAACGGACAGATGCACCAAGTCTAATGGGAACATAATTATTTGTAGATTAAGTTTCTTTAGGGAAATGCTCCCAGAATTCTTTGTATCTTTAACTTTTATTTCTTCCTCTTTTCATGTACATAGTGTAATGATTTATGGGCTGTATATGAATTTCTATGATGTCATGTTTACTTAAGTAAGTACTCATTATTGATTCTGATGAGAGACTTATTTCCTAATAGTTTTACTAGGTTATTAAAGGGAATCATTTTTCTTTGGTTCCTTTCCTTCTTTAGTCAGAAAAGGGCTCAGGAACAGGATGTTGTGCAGAGTAGTAATTGGCTACTGTAAGTCATTTACTTTGAGTTGTCTTTAATTGTAAGAAGCAACATTATTTTGTATGCATTTAAGAAAGAAATCAAATGATGGTACGTTACCAATAAATCCCAATTTCAGAGGTGTTTGGCTTGAAGAAACATGTTCTCTTAACAATCAATATTCTCCCTCTATAAAACACAGTCTTTTTTTTTTAAAGAAAATATGTTTCCTTCATTACAGTCTATGAAGGTTTTCATCTTCCCCTTAGGTAGAGGACAGCTTGGAACTATCTTTCCAGGGAAAAGATGATGTAAAACTCGACATTTTTTTCTTCTATGAAGAGACTGACCATATGTGGAATGGAGGCACTCAGGCCAAAACGGGAAAAAAATTTAAGTATGAACCAGATAAGTACTTATAAAAGGGGCTCTTAGAGATAACTTCAGAAGGTAGAAATAAGGAAGTAACTGAAAATGAAAAACAAGAGAATGTCAAGGCTTCGCTATTAGCTAATACTTTCTCAGTTTACCCATAAAGCCCAGTTATGTTTGGAAAAGTGTGAACTACTTATAAGGACAGTGTAAGAGGAGGAAGTGCCCATGGGATGGGACCTCAGTCCAAATAGTCATTATGATTAGAACAGAAGTCCTTGAGTCATCAGAAAGGGAAAACCAAAACAAGGAACACAAAAACAGCCCAGAGCCTTAGCCAAAACACTGATTGGCTTTTAGAGTTATAGGAGCTTGTTAATTTGATGGAAATTGGTTAACAGTCAGTAAGAAGGAGATTGTCAAGGTGAAGTTTAAGTGAGAAAATTGGGACTGAGCTGCGCTGAGGCCACCATGCTGGGCAAGCTCTGGAATGTGCCTTCAGTATAAACTGAGGGCTAATCCTTCAAGGATACTCCTTGAGCTTAACAGCTGCCATATTTTGTCAAATGTAAGATGATATAGATTGTAAGATGCACTATTATTTTATGCGCTACTAAGAAAGGAAAAATACTGCCAATTATAATTCTAAAACACATGACTCACAGATGGAAAAATTTGGGTGGGGGGAAATGTCTCAGAATTGATGGAGTACAGTATGTTAGATTGACATTTTTAACATTTTTTTTTAATGCTGCCATAGTAAAACTTTGATGAGAAAAGACAAAAATGACAGTAGAGTAACTATGCTCTCCTTTGTGATGCAATCGACCTATTCTCAATTCTGAAAGAGAGAAAGAGAAGTGCAAATGAAGGGGAAGGAGCTCCCAAAGAGTTGGTCTTTGGAGTCAGGCCGACCTGGGAGACCTTAGCTGCACCCTAACCCATGTGTGGCCTTTAGCTTTTCTGAACATTAATCTCCTAGTCTCTTAAGTTTGGATAGTACTCCTGTGTGTTTGACTCTTATGAACATTGCACATGTGTTAACACATCTAATCATCAAAATAATCTTAGGAGGTAGGTATTCTGTGAGGCGCTGAAAATGTGAGTTCTTTGTTCAAGACCACACAGTCCATCCATCTCTTTAACCACTACTGCCCACTGTCTCCCTAATACACCTGACATATGAGGCACTTGGCATAATGCTTAGCATTTACTAAGTTATCAGCAAATGGTGGTTATGACTGCTATTGTTTATTAGTAATATTATGATTACTAATGTGATTATTATCATTGCAGTCATTACTATGGTAGTTATATGAGCAGAAGCATAAATTTGCCTCACTTACCACTCAGATTGGAGCTTCTAACTTGGAATAAATTTGATCCATTGGGCAGAGTGGGGAATGTTCTGTAGCACAGAAGAGAAATGCCGTATTCAGACTGCTTTCTCCTGGGTGTGTTGACACACCCTCTCAGGAGTGCTGTATCTTTATTTGCAGGCCAGGAGTCTTCACATAAGCTTAAATTCTGGAGGTTTGAGAGTAGTCCAAACCTTTTTCTCAAAGTTGTAAAGTCTCCCCAAATTGACATTGATCCTGGTGCATATTCTTGAAACTTGTACTTAATATAAAAAATTATTTTGCTTTATGATAACAACACATTCATTCTGGGTTAAAGCTCTGATTATAAGACAAATTAATAAGTTAACATATAACTGACATTCTCACTTGTGGTTAGGTGAATGGGAGTGTTTATGACATTCAGCTATAGTTTGTTTATTCAAAATATGATGAAGCTGAATTTAATGTATAATTTAGAGGCTTCTTTAAAAACTGTAAAGTAGTATAGCCTAGAAATTGAGGAGATGGAGCCAGTCTGGTTGCTTTTGAATCCCAGCTTTATACTTCACCAGCTTTATGACCTTGGGCAAGATAGTTAACCTCTCTGTGCGTAAGTTTCCTCAAGTGTAAAATGGGAATAATAACAGAAATTGCTACATAGAATGGCGTTAAGGATTAGCTGAGTTAATACACAGAAAAGGGGGGTTCGAAGAGAATTAAGGATGTCCCGAGTGCCAAGTAATTATTATTGCTATTATTAATAGCTATTATTAATTATTATTAATTACTACTATTATTAATACTACTAGGAGTAGCAGTTGTAGTGGTGGTAAAGAAAACTATTTCTCTTCTTAGTCTTATGAGAAATTGACAGATTAGAAGAAACCTATATAATTAAGTCAATATTAAACTGCCAAATCTGTTCATAGAGAACTCATATGAGAATGTCACCTTTTTTCAAAGAAAGGTAATTTCTAGAGCCAGTAGTATAATTCTGTTATTCTTAGATTTCCTTCGGGGGCATAAACTTCTTTCTTCTCACTAACATGGTCTGAAACCCACAAACTTCAAAAGAACTCTTCATTTCTAACCGCTACATTTCTGCATAGAAAGAGCTTCTTTCATTCTGCTTTAGCTGCTCTTTATGGTAGCAGTGTTTGGGAAGTGTGAAATGTTCTGATTATTTAACAAGAGAAATGAGCAGTGATGGAACTGTCTGGACAGATGGTGTGAGTCCCAGATTTTCTATCCTGTTACTGTGACCTTAAAAGGCAGAGAAAAGAACAGGGATGGCTGTGTAGAGTAGTTTCTTTGGAAGATTCCCCCAGCCATATGCCATTTTCATTCTTTTCAGCACTATTTACTTGAAGGAACTATAGTATTTTCACCAGCACTATTCCTAGAGGAAAAAAACTCTTAAAGCGAATCTAAAGGTCTTTTTATCTGTATATTTCACTTTGTATTCATGTTATCATTCATTCTGAGGAAAACTTAATATCATAGAATGCTTACGATTTTTTTAAATGTTTATTTATTTTTGAGAGAGAGAGAGCATGAGCAGGGGAGGGGCAGAGAGAGAGGAAGACACAGAATGTGAAGCAGGCTCCAGGCTCTGAGCTGTCAGCACAGAGCCTGACACGGGGTTCGAACCCACGAACCCCGAGGTCATGACCTGAGCTGAAGTCAGGTGCTTAATTGACTGAGTCACCCAGGCGCCCTGAATGCTTACAATTTTAAAAAAGGCTAAAGAGGAACTCAGGAAGGAAGAAAAAAGTTCCCCTTTTGAAACTTTACTCTGCATGCCTGCAGAATGATGTTTTTGGTCCTCAGATGTAATAATATTAACAGCAATGATAAAGGTATAGCTCCTAGGGCATCTTCTGGTTATCTGGCACATGATAGGTACTTTATGTTTATAATCTCAGACAGTCCTCACATTATCCCTGTGGGTTAGGTGTTCTCACTCCCAGGTAGATATGAGGAAACGGCCAGTTAGAGAAGTGAAGTAACTTGCTCATTAATGGCTGGGCCAAGTTTTAACCCCAGTGCTGTTGGACTCTTAATCCTAAATGCTTATTTCTAAGACTTAATAGGTTAAATGAACTAATACACGTAATGCATTTGAAATAGTACCTGGCACACAGTAAGTGCTATGTAAATATCAGCCACTGCTGCTACTATTGTTACTATATTATTATTTCCACTATTGCTATTGTGTTGCTCTGGCACAAAGCATAGTATCTTCAGCACAGTGGTAACTTGGATTAGTTACTCCAGTGGGTCTGGATTGTTTTATACTTATTTTTCTTCGTCAGAGTCTCAATCACTAGCAATAAAAGGTGACGCATATAATAACTATGCCGCCAGGATGTGAAGTTTTTATTCTGTAACTTCACGGTCCTGTAGATGCTGCCTGGGTTTCTTGGGGTTGTTTTTTTTCCTTCCCATCTGAATCAGCTGTTAGTAGAGGCCAGAAGTTTGAGAGGTAATAATCATGGTAATAATAAAAATTAACTTTTATGGAATATTTACTACATGCCAGGCACTATGCCAAACTTTGATATGCATCATCTCATTTAATCCTCACAAGTTTATAAGGGAGATTTTTTAAATTGTCACCTTCATTTTATAGACGTGGAAATATGGCAGAGCTGAGACTCAGATGTGGGACCATATCACTTCAGAACCTGTATTCTTATATATACATGATGCTAGTGTCAGCATGATCTATTATACTGTTAATACTCCCTCCATGAAAATAGCCCTTCTCCTCAATGTTATATTGTCAGGGTAATACAGCTACCTCTCTAACCTCTACTAGGAAATCTACCCAGTGGGCAAGTGGTGGCCCTTATACCTTCTGATATTTGCAGTTGCTGCTTACTGTACAGGTCTCAGAAAATTTGGATTTGTTCTCTGTGGGACTAGACTCCCATCCGGGTGTGGCTCCTATATAACATTTCATTTCTTCAGACTTTATTTACTAACTGTTATGTGCAATGGATTCTAATGTAAACATACTTAGTTTCCTCTATCAGGGATCTCATAATCTGGACCATGAGATGAATTATTAAAGTACTTGATCAGCAGAACAGTAATTGAAGTCTGTGTCATATATAGTTCAGATACCAAATCAGAGTCTGTCTAGAAGCAACAGCAAGGAAGCATGGCTTAAAAATAGAGAAGTTTGTTAGGTAGACTTGGTAGGAATGTAGAGAAAGGCCCAATAGGTTTGCTTAACTATTTTTCTATTTAGACTATTCCTATTTTTTCTTCTTTTATTTATTTATTTTTAATTTTTTAATTTAAATCCAAGTTAGCTGACATATAGTGTAATAATGGTTTCAGGAGTAGAATTTAGTGATTCATCACTTACATATAACACCCAGCTTATTTTTTCTTCTTATTAAAAAAATCCTATGTGCATATTTTTACATAAAGTAAAAGCTTTATTAGAGATTGTTCCCTTGACCAGATTCCCAGAATTGAATCATTATTATTGTTCTGTGCCGTTTGAGAAATATAAAGGGTAAGTGAGCAATGTTCTGATACGGTAAAGTACAAGATTTTATTCTTCAGTCTCCTGTTTTTCCTTTGACTCTTTTTTTTTTTTTTTT